CAACCTCAAGGATTCTATGATTCTAATTGTTTGGGGGCTTTTTTTGCTTGTTTTCCCTTTTCCAAAGTCAGCGTTATTAACATGAAGTTTGTACCAGCAGCAAAATTAACACAAAGATAAATTTCTTTCGTTACGAGATATTACTCCGAAGCAGCACACTTTCTGGATTCTTTCCCATCTCAAATACCAATGAAGGGGTGTGGGCAAGATTACTACATTTCAAAGAAAAAGAGATTGATTGTTAACATTTTCAGTTTCACCATTTTAGATAGTAATAGAACAAAAGCCTATCACTAACAGTAGCCTTATAAGAGTTCCTAAATTGTCACTGCAGTCAAAACCAGTATATAGTCTCATATTTAAAACACTGATTTTTTTCTGCTCCTGCATCTTCTCCTGAAAGGCACTTGTAGAGACAAACTCCCTGTCAGGGACCTGTTCTATCTTAGGACTGGCAGGTCATTTCCAGTCAACACATACATTCGTTTGGTCTTTCATTGCACAACCACAGGCTTTTGATATTATATTGAAAAACGAACTCTGACACCTATGTATGCAAACAAGTATGCCAGTAGTATTTTTAAAGCACTGAAATGATTTAGACATAGCAGCTCCTTAAGCATATGCATAAATTACGCTAATGTAGTTATGTGTCTAACTTTTTTCATAAATCTAACTTTTGAATACTTTTTCTTCACCTTTCATGGAACCTGTCCCAATGATCTATACTAACTTTAAAAAGGCAGCAGATAACGAGCTTTGTGGAAACTGTCACTAGATAAATGCTTGGTGGTTTTGGTTTGGTTTTTTTTCTTCTGTGATAACCTAGCACTTGGTTACATCCTTAGTATTACTTTCATTGATTTTTAAATCCTGTATCAAAGAGAACTCCATCTGAACTGCATTATGCATGGATACGATTTTACAAGAGTAAAACTTCCTTAATTTTTCTTTTAAGATTGAGCTTCCCAAACACTTTCCTGAAGGCACAAGCACAGAGCAAAGCCTCATCAGGGAGCTTCAGCTCTCAAGGTAATGTATGAATAAACAGCTAACAGCTCAGCCAATACAGATGAAATAAACAGAAGTGATCAGGAAATAGCCATTGTGATTTTTAGTTACATAGTTTGCATTCTGAAATAGTTTCATAATTTAAAAAAAAAATTCTAAAATTGTTTTGTGTTCCAGATTAACTATTAATCGATTAGAGAAAGAAAAAACAGAACTAGCTCACCAGGTGGAAGATTCTAAGCACCACATACACACATACACAAATGAAGGTCCTGCAGCTGGTAATCATTTTCAATACCTAAAATAAAGATCTTCCTGTATTTTGGGCTTAAAACTATTTTTATGTTAATATGTGTCTTCATAATTATAGTAAATGTGCAGAATTATTTGAATTTCATTAATGCCAGAGTAATGTGAACTGAAGCAGACGAAGTTCTGGGATTTTTGAGGACTTATACAAGCTGTTTATATAGACATGTTGGTAAAAAAATCTTTGTCATTCGTTACCTTGAACAAGAGGCTGTAATCTTTGTAAAATTTCTCTCTCCAAGAAGATGTGTAGCTCATGCCCCCAACTATTTTATAAACCTCAAAAGACTGTTTGTAAGCTGCCAGTCATTCATTGAAACCCATTTGCCTACCCCTTTTGCCCTGGCTTCCACGCTGCCAGAAAATGTCTGTTCCCAGATACCAGCTCTGGGAATGGTTTAAAACCTTGCAGGCATCAGTCCCCTGGGAAGAGCCAAGCGCTCTAGAGCAGCACTTTACCACATGAATGGGGGGAAAAAAAAACCAAGAAACCCACTCATGAAATGATGAATGCAATTAACAAGATGCTTATACTATGCTATTTCCAATTTTCCTGCGTTTAATACGGGAAAACTGTACGCGTTGCATTTCTCAGATGTGTGGTAATGGGCTGAGCACTGGCACACTGCATTCAGCCACAGGAACTAGACACCCCTATCTAATTTGTACAAGAACTAAAGAAAAGAGCAGGTGACTTGGATTTCTGGGGGTTGTTCATCCCCATTGGGTTTACACCCTTTATCTGTGTCAATTTGCAGGAGATGCATAATTACTGTAATAAGATTATTCATGTCATTGATTTTCATTACCTCAAGTTTCATGACACATTATTATTTTTGCAGGACATAATGCAATTGTAGAGAAGGATAAAAATGACAAGTTAATGACACAAGTAGCTGACCTCCAGATGCAGCTGAAAGCCTCAGAGCTGGAAAATCAGCAATTAAAGGTGAGCTGCAAGGATCCTCCTAGGCAAGATAATGAGCAAAACTATGGTTAGCTAGAAAGAGCTACTTAAAATCTAAACTAATCCTTAATGAAAAAGTAAATTTCTAGACATCTTTATGAAGCCTGTTTTGTTGTTAGTGAATGTGATGTTCAGAGGTAAACTTCTCTGTCTCTAGAGAAAATGCTTTTTCTCTCATCATTTAACATCCTAAGAAGGAGGCAAAAAAGCTGTCATTGATGTGTATTGCCCAAGTTCTGGATAAAAGTGGCATTCCTTCATTCTTCTTAATAGGAAGAAACAAAAAACCTGAGAAGAGAACTAGAAAACTTTGACCCTTCCTTTTTTGAAGAAATTGAAGATCTGAAATATAACTACAATGAAGAAGTGAAAAAAAATATTATCTTAGAAGAGAGATTAAAGAAGCTTTCTGAAGAGTGTGGCATTCAAGTGGATAGCCCAGGCAACACTTCTGCTGGATCAGGCTAGTGTACAGTATCCTCAGCACTGACAAACCAAATAAATTCTGGAGCAGTTATGTAATACTGATATTCTTGATTGGTTTTATCTGGGAGTGATACAAGTCTTTTAAAGTTACAATAGTTTGGCACATACTCAAGAGTACAGAACTGCATTAGTCAACAGATTATTGTTGGTATTTATATACACCAGTCAAAATAAAAGTAAGTTTTACTTCTGTCAGCTCCTTTGCAATATTATATTCTAATTCAGAACGGCAATTTGGGTAATACACAGGGCTCAGGGGAAGCTGAAACCCTGGACTTCTCCTAGAAGTGAGACACTTAAATATGTCAAGTTCCAGATCCATAATAATATATAATTTGTTCTTGCTGCCTCGTGCTATCAGGACTTCTCAACTATGGACTCAGGGTCAGCGTGCCAGATGTCTGCTCTTAGATCCCTGGTTACTTTTACCTCAGTTTTAGAAGATCCAAGAATTGAAAATAAAGTTAAGAGCCTTTCAGCCAAACTACTGGTATTTTTTGTAGATAAATTGTTTTACATTTTGTATATTTTATATAGCTGGATGCATACTTTTATAGCACAGATAAAGGCAACTCAAACAATTATGTGTTCTCACCTTTATTATTTATATGCCGTTTTACTTAATATGCCCTTGATGAAGTTTCCCAATTGAGATGCAGTCTCAAAAAATGGGTAGTACAAACCAAGTCTCTCTCTCTCTCTCTCTCTCTCTTTGTAATGACTAAGGATCTCCTAAAAAGAACTAGTCTGCTTTCTATTATTTACTCTGTTTGTCCCAAAATAGTAGAAGTACCGGCAGGATATAGCTTACTTAGGTTTTCAAGTAATAGTGTAATGCTGCAGCTTACCAGTTAAATAATACAGTCAAGAGTCTTCCCCAAAAAGAAATCGTTACAGCTTAAAAAAACAAGAAACCCAAACCTATTTCAGGACTAATTCTGGTCCCACCTGAAACATGTCCTTTTCTATTAAGAAACAAGTAGATCCTAAACTTCAGTCCTACATATAGCAGTGTCACAGTAATGACATTCACAGCAGTGCAAGCTGTGTAACTGGGACAGCTGATTGCATTCATTAGCTAAGCGATTAGGACCCGTCCAGTGTTAGACAATGTACTTCTTACACATAATGATAACAGTTTCCAGAAATGGCTTCAGAAGTTAAGGATTGTTCAGAACTGAAATGAACACGGTAAAAGCTAAATCCCTGCTCTGGATGTCGGACCTCTTGTTATATAAAATTAGTCATTTACAAAAACCCTAAAATCTGCTGCCAAATATTACTTGTAAAGAATTCTGTGGCACGCACACATTAAGAGAAAGGCAGCACATACGACCATTCAAAGAGAAAAATTATTTCAAGCGTCAAACTTGATGTCCTTGAGTCTGTCAAATCTTTGACCATCCAAGTTTGAAAAATGGTGAAACAAACTCTGTGGTTCCAAGTCACAGCCACACTTGGTTCTGTTACAGGAAATGACAACCGGCTGAGAGCTCAGGAACGTCTCCGCAAGCGGCCAGCGTAAGCCGAGATGGTGGCGATGGAGCTGAAACAAACAGACACACAATCAGTTTAGAGGTCTTGATGTAGCAGCCCAACTGCCACCA